GAGAATTCGCACTGGACAAAGAATGCAGCACTGCGGGTAAAGGAATCTGACAGACAGTAACCACAGAATGAGAGCCAACAAAATGACTCATAGGCAAATGCTGTGCTCTGTGAGGACAGACAGTACAAGTGAGGACCATAGCTTATTCGTTCCTGACCCAGAATCCTCGGATGCTGCTGACTTGATCTGCAAGAGTCAGGAGTAGAGGCTGTTTCACTACAAAAAGGATGAGGTGATTAGTGAGCCAAGTTTGTCGGACTGGATGGCAAACGAAGGATATTGTACATCTCTTAAATAATGTGGAAGGGGCGCGGATGGGACAAGTCAGGGCTCGGTAGAGCTGACAGTGATGCAGATGCCTCCTCCGTTGCTGGAGCTGTGGAGCGCCGCCCGGCGCTTGGCGAGGGCCGACTCCCCGGGGGGCGAGAGCCCGAAGGGCACAGGGCGCATGTTCCAGTCATTGGTGGGCGTGGCCTCGGACTCCTCCTCCTCCTCCCGCTCCTCCTTCTGAGCCACCAGCCGGTTGCACAGCACCGCCTCGGCTGCAAACTGGCACAGGTCCTTGGCGCTGTTGTTGCGCTTGATGACCGAGGGGGTGTGGAGTGGGGTCATTGGGGCCCGTCCGACCCAGGGGTGGGCCAGCACCAGCTCGGCCGAGTAGCGCTTGCTGGCGTCCCGCACCAGCAGGTTGGAGATGAGGTCCTTGGCGTCCTCCGAGATGTTCTCCCACTCGGCGCCATCAAAGTCATAGATGCCTGCCTGGATGCTGTGCAGCAACATGTCCTGCCAGACAATGACAACAAATCCTCCAATATGAAAACTCAATGAATGCACAAAGGGCCTACTCATGCATATCTCTGTGGCACAAAAGGACCGACCTCCAAGATGGCTGCCACGCAAAACCTCCATTGCCAAAACACCGACTCACCTCGCACTCCTGGCAGGCTCCGCCGTTGTCCCAGCCACAGTCCTCAGTGCAGTTCCCGACAAAGGGCGGCCGGCCGCTCAGCATGATGTACAGGATCACGCCCAGACTCCACAAGTCGCACCGTTTGTCGTAGGCCGAGGCCTCGTCGTCGTCAATGAAGGCGTTGACGACTTCAGGGGCCATGTACTCAGCCGAACCGACCTTTGACGTGGAAAAACGAGGGAAGCAAAACTTTAAGTGAATGCCTCTCCTTTGTTCCTCAGTACCTCTCAAAAGAGTCTGTCAAACTGAAAATCCACCAACATGTGGCTGGATACCTCAGTTGGGAAAGCACCAATGTGGTGTTCTGGAAGTCGACGATTCCATTCCTGCTCAAGCCAATTTCTTCTTTTAAATGGGGTCCATTTTCAGTATGTAGCAGAAATCACTAAGCAAGATTTTGTGTTAAGCAAATATTCACCGAGAACCAGTTTAAAATGGTATACTATATATGCTGTTCTGGTCGGTAACCTAATTCTGGTAAACTAATTTTTATCCTTACCAGCTACATGAAATTGGCCCATGATATCGTTATTTGTTGCTATACTTTGATTGGCCTAGCTATTGACTTATTGGGTGTAGTGAACTAAATTGATCCAATGATCAGATCAAAATGGGGGAGGTGGGGGGAATCAGTTTCACCTACCGGGGTGAGCAGCTCTGGGGTGGTGAGCGGCGTGTTGTACCTGCTGTTCATATGGATGCCGCTGCCCAGGCCGAAATCACAGATCTGAATTGGGGAGATGGAGTGCTTGCTCTCGCACAGGATGTTCTCGGGCTTCAGGTCACGGTGAGCAATACCTGGATCATATCGGGGTATAGAAGGGCCACCGATTAAGGGATATATATATCACATTGTACCTCGATCAAAGTGCCCAGAAGTGGCAAAATCATGCAGAACTTTGCAATCAAATGCAAAAAAACCCAACTTTCAATGCCTGTATACCTCAATGGGGGGATTAATATTTGCTTGTCGGTCCTAAACGATGTCAAAACATATCCCAGTTGAATGGTACTATACATCCAATTCCCCTTAAGGAACATTTGTAAAAATGACTAGAGACAGTATCATACTGAAATTAACTTTTTTAAGAATCAAACTAACATGTTGCACACAAAACTAAAACAAGCTCAGACTTTCCTATTGTATGCAAGTTTTTATGAAAGCGATGCTAAAAATAAAAGTTTATACACAGATTGACAAAAATTCCTTTTTTCTGCTATATACAGAGTGATATCTGCCCACTTAAAAATAGCCCATTAACTTCATTTTTAGTTACGACAGGACAATTAACAGTGACCCAGTCACCCATCAAGGCAAATACACCTGAATACTCCATAACACAGATAAACTTTATTGACAGTTTGGACTTTGGGTTCATCTGAATCAGGTGATGTTTTCGGACTTTGGGAAACGGAATTAGCCTAATCCTCTGAACCTGTGTATCTGTCAGATGCCAACATATCAAGTACATTGTGTAAACAAGATACTGTGGCTGTCTGCAGCAGTGTGTGTGTAAAACAACGTACACTCTTACATGTATGTCGTCTGAAGAATTTGTGGCAGATGTACACCAGAAAATAATAATAATCTTATATGGCGCCAAATCCTTTAAAACGATGTTCAAGGCGCTTTCCAGAAACTATATAATTGGCAAAATAATCCAATCAAAGTAATATTTCTAAAAAAAAAAAATTTGTTACAAAGAATCACATCAAAACCAAAGCTAAAACCAAGGTAGTTAAAACTTTGGACATATCGTTCAAAGGCATATAAAAGGATTAACTCTAAGAACCAGCATTTAGAAACCATAAGGACTAAAATACATTAAACATACCCAGAAAATGTACCCAATTAACCATCAAACCAACCAGTCGGCTGACCGCCTTATCATTACCCTACCCTTTTATACAATATCACCAATTCCTGACTAGTGTTTCGTTTTGCCTGATCCAAATATCCCGGATCTACTTCCGCACCTAAATTGTATTTTTGTCATCAACGGGGCCCGATTCTGTTTTTTCTCTCTCTACCTTTGTTGTGAAGGAAAGCGAGAGCACTGGCGATGTCTCGGACCACCATGCTGGCTTCTTGCTCGGTGAAGGTCCTGCGCTGCTCGATGTGATGTAACAGGGCTCCCCCCTCCATCTTGTCAAACACCAAATAGAACCTGCAAGGAAAAAAGGGAGGGGAGATTAGAGTATCGGGTATCGGTGATTGGCACGGTGGGGAGTGTTCTTAGAAGAGTTAGCCAGAAGAACCGTCCCACTGGGGTGGGGCCAATTTCATAGAGCTCCTGAAGCACAGAATTTGCTGAAGCACGGATAAACCTTACTTAATACACAAAGGTTACCAGCTCAAACTTCATGTGATTGTCATGCTAACCAAAAGACAGGTAAATACCATTCCAAAACAATAGACTTCACAAGAAGTTTTGGCTGGTAACCCGATTTGTCAAGCAAGGTTTTTTCACGCTTGAACAAATTTTTCGCTTAAGCAGTGCTAGGAAATTGGCCCCAGGGCCATTACAAACATCAACAAAACATCCAGGGTAGTGGTTAGGAACCAAGGACAGAAATAAAACACCGCTCAGGGCTTCTAATAACGAGAGCATCTCTACATGAGACCTGAGGTCTCTCCCAAATGGCACTGTTGAAGGGAAATCTGCAAGAGGGTTGCTGGGCAGAAAATGCCAAACAAAGAGGCCAAACCACCGAGAAATAAAATCCCTAGGTGCAGAGCAGGTGCCAGATTCTACACCGCATGTTGCTCTTCGCTGACGTTCATCAACTAAGCACTGTATGCTCTCTATTGTCTGAGACCTGTGGAAGAAGTCGATAGCGTGCTCCGCTACCGTCTCTCTCTGTCAATTACCTCTCGTCATCCTCAAAGAACTCGATGAGCTGCAGGATGCTCTTGTGGCCGTGGCAATGGTAGAGGGTCTCAACCTCCCGGAACACCTTGGAGCGACTGTTCCCCGGTCTCTTCTGGATCATCTGTGGGTGAAGGAGACACAACAGAAACGGATTTGTGGGGATCTTCAACGACTTGGACAAGTTTGATCAAGGGCCCTAACAGTCCTGAATCCTCAAATTTTAATATGATTTTGCTCACACCCTAGGGAGTGGGGGTTAACCCTTTGAACAATCTGTACGGTGGGATATTTGTAGAGTAAGTATGCCTTCAAACTATGGGATTCTTAGATACGCCACAAATCTTGAAAATTTACTCGGACATTTGGGAGAGCTATTATTTGAGATTTATTTCACATTTTTCCTCATGGTTGCCTTCATTATCTGTACATCTAATAAAAATAGTACTTTTTCATGTGAATTACGTGTACATCTGGCAAATTAACATCTTTTCTCTGGAACTAAAAACAATTTCACATGAACTGCAGGTACACCTCGACAATTTTATTCCTTGTTTGTTTTCAAAGACAGATATTCCGTTTCTTGATTCTACATTAAATATTTGATGATTTGATATGAAATCAAAACATGCTACAAGATATGAAGACAACCAGACACCCCTTTGTTGACACATCCCCGGTGCTGACCCTACCTCCGTGCCAAAGTTCCCTTTATGTAAATAAATAACATCAGAAGATAACGCAAAAGAGATCCACTATGATTCTTTGATCATGTAGCCTTGGGACCAGACCGTTAAAATCTTTCAAGAAGGAATTTTAGGTCTATTACTAAACTTCCATCTAAGTTCCTTTGCAATTTTTGGCTGGAAATCTTTCTGGACTCCTACAAAATCCTCCACTGTGCAGAAAACGCAATGACCTATGGGTAATTCCAGAAATCAGGGGTCTATTTTTGTGCGTCCCTGTCACACCCGACATATGATTTTGTAAGTTCAGAACACATTTGAGTGAGGAATTAATGCAAATTACCTGCCAAACAAATAGTAATTGTTTGAAATCAATTCCGGTGATATTTCCATGTCAAATAACAAAGGTCAGATGTAACAGGGACACAAAAATTGTCACACTTTTGGACCCCTAATTTCTGGGATTACCCATATACACGTGCTTTGTAATGAACGCTTTCAAGGCACATCGGGCTTAACAGAGAACAACAGTTACTCAGGCTCCAACCTGCCCAAATCTTACATAAATATCACCCCCAGATGCAGGAGGAGTTCAGAGTGTTCTGAGAGGGCTTAGAGGTTCACGAGACTGCTCACCTTGACGGCGTAGTGCCTCCCTGAAGTTATGTGGGTGCAGGTTATGACCGACGCATAGGCACCTGTCCCTAGTACTTCGTCTGTCACGAGGTAGACATCTGGAGAAAAGAAATGTAAACACCTCTATGTAAGGTGAGGGGATAACTTCCATAAAGACACAGTAAAATGGCTATAAAGAGAAAAACCAGGAATAAGAAACAGGGCAAAATGCCCTGTAACAAAACAAGGTGTAACACCGGTCGGTAAGCTGTGTACTGTTACTTTGAACCGTATTAATTTGGAGATTGGGTCTGTTGGGGCCAGTATGTACACAGGACCAAGGCAGATACATGTAATATGCAAATAAGGCAGGTGCATGCGTATTACTAACCACTGGTTGTCAAAGTGGCTTCAATCTACGACATAACAATACCAATCTCCATGTGTGCGTAACTATGAGCACGTACATGCTATTTCTGTGCTAGTATAGTTTGACATGAGTGCCAAACTTCAAGGCAAGGAATTGTTACTTTCCAATCTCAGGACACTGAAAAAAATTCACTTTGTTTCGAGAAAATTGTGCTGAAGTATCGGACAGAGGCTGTAATACAGTTTTGATTGACTTTCAATAGGCCAGGTTATGGTTAGAGCAGCTTGCCTACACTGCCGATTAAGTTGACGGCCGCTCTTGCCAACCAGTCACGAGAAGTGCGCATGCACCTGTCTGATCTGCATATTTCATGGGAAAGGTCCCTTTCTTCGGCAAATGGCATGCATGTATTTGGGTGATAATTCTGTTTGTTGATTTAAAAAACCATGCAAGAGTTTTCCCTGAATTTTTTTTCTCCAGAATGGCTGAACAGAGAAAAAAAATAAACATGCCTCTTGGAGCCACACTAACGCCCTTTCATGCTTTTCCGGAATAACGGCCTCTAAGAAAAATATCAGCAAAGGCCGTTAAAACTGGAAATCTCCACCAGAGTGAACATGTACTCCAAACCGCAAACACATTAAGATATTGAATTCTGCTGGCTAAATGCCACGTTTTCCCTCTTAAAATCAAGCAAACAGCCACCTCCTCCATTGGCTCTCTCACTGGGGGACGCAGAGCCACAGCTGAGCCAATTAGCCGCACAAATCCCTCGACCATTTATGAACGGGCAAAAAGGGCTATTAAGGACGACTCCGGCGACAAACGGGTCGGATTACCATCCATCCGAGAATGTCAGAGGTGCCGGTCAATTATGCCGTCCCTACTCCTCAGTCCGGCCTGTTTGCACCTGCGTATTCAATTTCTGCCGTTTTGTTGTGCATCAGATTTCTTTCGTGACGTTTGATAGAGATAAAGGACGCATCAATCTTTTTTTGGAAAAATGCATCAACAAATTTCAATACGCCTGCCCTTGTTAATTCTTTTGCCAGTTGTTGGGGGAAAAAAAAAGTTCATGATTTTTGCAGCAGTCAGTGTTTTAGAGAAATCGAAATTGGTTAACGATGGTTTACTCCATCAACTGAAAATTGTTGATTTAGAAAACACACAAACATGTGTTTCAACGACCAAGCAGTTGCTTTACGAAACTGATATTTGCACAACAAACTACCAACACCAACTCGGGAAAAAGACATTTTTAACTAACACCGTTCCCGTGCAAAATCAGACACTCTCTTTAAATCAAATGCTCTCTTTAAATCATGAAAAGTTAAACACCAAAATACTCACAATCAGGCCTCATGTAATGAAATGTCTATGTAAAATACCGTTTAGCAATGCTTTATGTCCTAATTAAATATTACAACAGCAGTGCTGAGCAAACTTCTGGTTTTAGCAGCACTCAATTCAACTGGCCCTTGGTTCCCAGATACGGAGCAACTGTGCCCAGAAACCTAGTACAGAAAATATCTGCTTAGTGATTACAGGTTTCCAGCTAAATATTCCGTCAAGCGTTCGACTGGTTTCCAGCTAAATTTGGCACAGCATGCAATTATGTCTAGCACATATTCTCACCGAGCAATTCAACCAGATGAAATTGGGCACGGAAATGCAGGTTATCAAGATGCAAGTTACGCCTTGCCTAAATGCGGTGCCGGGGGGGTGGGTGAGAGAGGGGAGGTCAGGTACTGGTCACTTACCTTCAAATTTGCTGGGTCCCACAGCGGACCGCCTCTTCTTCTTCCTCCTCCGTCTGTTGTTCTGGTTGTCGTCCAAGCCCAGCCCCGCCTGGTTCATGTCTCCGCTGGACGACAGTGACAACTGGCTCAGCTGGCTCTCCGCGGAATCTACCAAGGAGGTGACCACCAAGGCCGGCGGTTTACGAGGGCGGAAAACGGGATTCATGCTCACCAAAGCGTCAGACGCCGGTGGGTACACACTGGGACTAAGAAATCGGGCAACTTGGCTTTCTGCTTTACGGGGTTTCGGTCAAACAGTGAGGGAACCGAGTGCAGTGAGTATCTATCGTTTTTCACCTGGGAAACATTTCCTCATTCACACAATCCTTTCCCCGACCACCGCATCCCGATACAATTTGACTCCCGACTGCTGGAGTTGATGCTGCAACTTTTGCTGTGGTTACACATCCATATATACAAACCCACTCGCACCATAAAAGGACCAAAAATAGGACAATTACAATAGCCAATCAGGTTTGACCATCTGACAACTGACACAATATTCTCTTTTGGGCCCCCTCCATACCCGAGGGATAGAGAGAGATTTTCTGAAATCAATTGAAGTTTGTTATTTCTTTGACTGCAGTTAGTCTTTTAGCGCCAACGCCTCACTGTTACTTTTGTCCCCCTAATTCAAAAGCCTTCTCGCTTTCTGGCCTTTGACGACCAACCTTTTCAGTTGGTGGCAAAGAGTGTCTCCGTATCACGTTTCTTCAACCCAACAAAAAGCAAGTCTCGGTAGCCCTCTCACTGGAGGAGGAACATTTGCCTCGGGCAGAAATTTTTTTTAAAAAAATGAGACTTCAAAGCAAGTCGTTTGGCAGTCGTGTCTGTTCCCTGGCACCACCGATATGAACGAGCGCCCCGACGTGGTCACTGATAGACAACACACACGCATCTTTGGTCCAAGATCGCATTGAGCGTTCCCGAATGTTACTGCACGCTAGACTGGCAGTGGCGCCGGTGGACTAAAACCGGCCAACTGGTTTCAAGTCTACCAAAAACAAAAAAAAAAAGCCTGCCACTGATTGCTGACAATGTAGAGAGCAGGAACCAGAAAGAACAGGTGTTTATGCTCGCTGCCCTCAAGAGGTTGGCAAGTCAATTGATCTACTTTCGATGACTGAATAGTTCTGGAACTTTCCAGAGCAAAACAGCAAATAGACCCAGTTGATAAAAAAAAAGCTAATTCCATTGTTCCTTCGGCAAGGGACCATTACTCATCACGCCACCTGTTTCATTAAGTGAAAATTCCCACACCAAACATGCCAGATAGAATTCTCTCTCTCTCTCGCTTTTTGGGGGGGGTGTCCCAAGAGTACTTTGGACTGTGCTTACCAATGACGCTGCTCTCTATCAGGTTGTTGTTGATGAGGTTGGCGTCGTGGTGGTACAACGTTGATGTCTGCTTGATGTCCATGGGCAGGGAGGCTACTCGCCCTGACATGGCCTGGTAGTTGTCATCCATTGGAGTGTTGCACGTATTGAGCTGGGGGGGGAGCAAAAAAGAGACATATTTTCAATAGCAGTTATGCATGACCGCACGAGGGTGCTCCAAATCCCTTTTTTTTTTTTCACTTGACTGCAAACAGAATCAAAAAGCGCAGTTCAGTTTAAGAAACTTTTCCAGTTTATGAGGCAGTGGAGGGCTCGAGGGAAGAGGAGAAATGCAGAAAATATCCAGCACAGGAGTTATTACAATAAATTCTAGGGGTAAACTTCTTCGGGCTTCCAGCAAGTAACAAAGCACGAGTCCCCTCCCAAATGGCGATGATTGCCAATTGTCAATTATTATTTTTTGGCATGGAGTGGTACAGGACACCAAGACTTCAATGATTAGGACAGCTGTGGGGAAAAAAATCCTGGAATTTGGGAAAATCCCCAGAAATCATGTTTCTGGTACGATCAGATTTCCACGACTACCGCCCTCGATTTCCTCTGCCATTGAAGCAACGTGCTCACGCAAGCGGTTTTTATTTGGAATTCACCACTCAACCAGATCACTTTACTCACTGAAAATGGATTCTGTAACAGTGGGTTCATCTCCTGGTTTCCGTGTGTAAGAGTCTCCGCTGGTGCTGGCATAGCCTGTATCGAAATAAACACAAACGGATAAGCACCAAATTAAGCTAGTGCTCTGAGGAAACTCGCAGTCACGCATGAAGGTACTTTCTCCAGGAAGTAAAACGATCAATTACGGTGTGAGATTAACAACATCTGGTAGTCAAACAAATGCAGATTTTAAATCAGTATCTATGGTTTGGCAAAAGTTGGGAAAAAACCACCAAAACTTAAAACCGTTGGCTGGAATTTTCCACAGGTTGTCTCACTTTCTGAAACATGACTTGGAAATAAAAAATACAAGAGCAAGTAACTGCGACAAAGGAAAAGAAAAACAAGGACGTGATTAGGTCTGACCAGCAGAGCTGTAGAAAACGTAACATTTGCAACCAACTCCAAAAAGGCCGTCAACAGCACCAAGTTCCCATTATCACCTCGGGTGACAACTTCACCACAGTCAATCCACTCGGCCTCTGACAGACAGACAACACAGGCTGACGTAATGCGCCCAAATAAAGATTCTTGCAGGAGCGGGTATTTATAGCCAGCGTCCTTTCGTGTTCGCCCCTACTGCCACACAATGGTCGTCCAGTTGGTCCCTGCTTTGCATTTATTGATCAACCTGGGCCCCAAGGTCTCTGGAGCATCTCCTGTGATTGTCTCTTGGTCTGTCTAATTGTGTCTGGGATCCTCTCTGCTGGAGAGGACAAACTGACCACAATGCATGACACGCACACAAGTCAAACAATTACTTGGGCCCCTGCAGCAGGAGAGGTCACCCCTTGGAACTTCCCAAGGAGGGAGGGAAGACACAATGGCAATTGTTCTTTTCAGGGGCAGGATTGTTTCTTTTTGTGGACAGGATTAAGCTAATCTAGAGTGAATACTGTGCTACTCCTCCGGAGTTGAGATCAAGCATATTGTCATAGATTAAAAAGTGCATGCTAACCAGCAATTATATGGGCAAACCCTAAATACATCACGGTGGATGGGGGGGGTAACACTCTCCCCTTCTGTGGCACTTCAACAAGAAGAAGGGATAGCTCAAAAAAAAACATTCAAGATTCATCTTTTTTTCATGCTATTCTGTATTATTTCAGTGCTCCTCACTGAAGGCTCATGTAAATGATAACCAACGCACAGGGATCAAGACCTTGCCAATTTCTGTAATACACTTTGATCTTCATCTCTTAAATCATTTCTACAGCTTTTACAATTTGCAATTTTTTTTACAAAATGGTAGTCACCACCATGGAAATTGAATAGCCCGAGTCAGTGACTTCCTAGTCAGGTAGACTGACAATAGTACCTACATGACAAGTCATCGCCGAATTCAGTCAAGACGTACTTGACCTTTACGCAACGCACCTCTGCTTACTGAAGGTAAGATCATCTTGACTAATACTCATATCAATATTTGTCGAACCCGTCCAATCCTGCTTCATTCACTTGGTACGCATTTCAGTGTCTTTGAGTAGGTCAAAAGAAAGCTTGAGAGGCAACATTAACAATGCGAAGGGCTCAGGGTCACACAATGGGATGTTTTGGTGTACGTGTGTGTGTGAAGGGAGAACATCGTCGAATCATGTCTTTAAGTCCGGAGTCTTTCCATTCAGCTGGAACACACCATGTACAAAATGTTATTATGAACACTATGTGGATGATTCATGGGCCAGAGAGCAGAGAAACAAATGTAGTCAAAGTCGGAGACTAGGCAGCACCAACTACAGAGTAAGGCTGCATCTGAATCTCTTGTCTAGAGCTGGGTCTCGATCTTAGCTCCATTGGAAATGCGTGGAGACGAGCAGACCTAGCCGTAGCTCTAGAAGCCCGTTTTGGACACGGCCTAAGTTAAACATGCAGAAGGCGCATGTATGTGCTTCCAACCGTGGGGGACTCTCCAAGGGGGCATCAGCTCTTTCCAAGGGGGCATCAGCTCTTTCCAAGGGGGGGGGCGGGACAAAGTGCAGATCAGCAGCAAGGGGGTCAATATCAAGGCATTTAAACACAAATTGGCAATACTTAACCCTATACTTTCTATTGTTTGTCTTTTCTGTTTTTTTGTCTCTTTCTGCTTCTTCCCCTTTTTCTTTTCAAGCATTTTTTACCAAGGGGAGACAAGCCCCTCCAATCCCTCCCCTCCCAATGCCCACACTTCCAAATTTGGACATGGCAAAAATGAAACAATGAAGTGCATGTAGTCATCTGATGGCCGATGCTTACGTGCCACCACACTGACCTCATGAATAAAAGATGAAGGTCACACAGCTTCACTGCTAGTGAGAATGTTTGAAATCTGCTCCACATGTTCATGTAACTAGATTGCTTCCACTCGAATCAATCTCATTTCTCCTTGGGGAAACGCACAGCAATCGGGTAAAATTTGCAAACAGCGTGGAAGTAATTAATGAAATCATTCCATGGTCAAACTTGCAGTCCGATTAAGGCCAAGGACTAATGTCCAGAATGGCACTGAATTCAGGTTACGCTCCGGCCGACAGCAGCTTGGACAGGAAACAAGTTTGCTGGCAATGTGGACGTGGCAGCTTGGGGGGCAATCGAGGGGCAATGCTGAACGTGCCGCCACAAGGCTGCAATATGCATGATATTGAACGGAATGTACACGTACATGTATACAAGCCTAATGCTTTTGTACATGTACATGTACGTTCACCAATCACCATGAGTACATGAACATTGCACAATGATCAGTTACATGTACATGTACTTACGTATACCCTATGAACATGTTATTTTCAGGGATATCTTGAAAAGTCAGTTTATCAGCCTGATCAAGCAACTGCCATAACTTTCCTCAAGCTAGCCACAGCCTCTAGAAGTTACCTAGAATCTTCCACAAGTTTGGCCTCTGCACACTTGCTGGTACACACAACCTTCTTGAGTAAAATATTTTATTTTTTGCAGTCCAAAAACCTGTTCATGCACATGTGGCGATTCATTACCTTCCAATTCTACTGAAATCCCCCGACAATCACGCAAGAACATTCTGGACTGGTCTGCTTCCCTCGGTGTCCAAGGAGGAACTGCGCCAGCGATGCATAAAAATAGATTGCAACACGCTGCATCAACTGCGCTGACGTATCGCCACAAACATGCCACCACAAGGGGAAATAATGCAAGTGATGTGGCTTAATAGACTTGGCCCATTCCCTCAGTGAGCTTTGTCACGAGAGAGAACAAACAAAACCGACTAACTCCGCGATTTCCCAGACTTGATGCCAACACAAAAAAACGTAATACTAAATATGCATGTAACATATTTTAGGAAACATGATTTCATGCACTAACTTTGATTTCATTAGGACATGATTCACGTACCCAACAAACTGCCAAGACTGAACCAAAATGGCTCGTGCAAGTCTAACAACGCACAAGGCGATGAGTCATCCCTCTGCTCTGCACAGTGTCCTGTTAATCAAAACCCCCCCCCCAATTTTGTAAATGGCTTCAACCACTTACCATGGATCCTGGGAACATCGACTATTTTTTGAGGGGTGGGTAATAACAGACTGCTATGAGAGAATGCCCGGGCCAGTTACAAGCGTATGGACTACTCCTGTTTTTTATTGATTCATTGCCACCTAAATCTCGTATCTCATCAGAATTGAATGGTAAAGATATTCTGCCCACTCTTCAGCAATCATATGCAGGGATAACATGCAACCTTTCCCCCACCTACTGTTAATGTGTCCGGGCAGTCTTGCCATCCGGCATGATGAAACTGATGATTTCCCTCTGCTTTCAGAGAAGAAATGTCCCGGGCCTACGTGTTTATGCACACTGTCCACTCAGGAAGGTTCTGGAATGGTGTGGGCAGGGTGCAACGAACTGGTGAAAGGATACGTTCAAGGATGCAGGGAAATGTAAATTGGGTCTAGAAGTGCAACCAAGAATCCCCAGAGCTCAGCTACATGTACATGTGGGTATGCTAATTGTGTTGGCACACACAGAGCCAGGAAACAATACCTGTACATATATGATACATGAGTGATTTCCTACATGTATACAGGAACAATGTACATGTACAATGACCGGCCAAAGACAGCTTAGTGCTACAAACCCAACACGTACTACCCCCTGCAGGCTTTGTTCTATACCCTTCTAGAACACCTGAAAAAGCAGGTGATTTGGGGAGCCCAAAATTTGAGTACTTCTCCATCATGGTTTTTTTTTTTCAGGGCCTTTGTGGGGGGTGTTAGGCCAAATTCGGGGGTCTTTGGAATGGAGGGCAAAAGGAAACAGTCCAGGAAAGCCATGTTTTCTTTTTGGTCACTAAAATTTGTAAAAAGCAAAAAATTCAGTTACATGTACATTTGCAACCCCTCCCCATTTTAAACTGGTTGAACTTCAAGGGACCCAGATCCTTTTAGGAGGCACTGTCCCCTCCCGGTCCCCACAACATCTTGCGAAAGCCTTCATAACCTCCGGCTGGATTTTGAACGCTCTGTAGATGAAGTTTCCTCTTCAGAAATTTGGGATTACATTACAGATTTTTTTTTTTAATTGAACAAAAGTGAAATACAAAACTGTTGAGACACGGAAGTGAAACAAATCAAGAACTACGTAAACACACAAAAAAGAGTAGAGGACTTTCATTTCCTAAACGTCGGACAACTTTCATAATGATATTCACAACCATCTGGAAACTAACGACAAAATCTACACTGGGGCAACAAAAGAGTTCCCTTTCAAAATATGACACCGGACGTACTCCACCAAGAAGTCACTGATTTCATTTCTATTACTAATATTTGAGAGATAGTATACATCAAAACAAATTACCGGTACATATCAATGCTAAGAAATCAATTGTATTCACGGTCTCCCTGGAGGCGCAAAAGCAGTCTTACCTGACTGGACAATCACCTGGCAAATGTCACAACTGGTACTTTGCATTCAAGTGTATTCCATCATATGGGTTATCCCTCCCAGAGGAAATGCTCCCAGTATTGCTTTTTTTTTTTTTTGGTCCGCAGAGGCAAATTTGTGTTCCACAAATAAGTCTGAGCACACAGCAGCTGGCTGACATGCGCCTACTGGAATGGTCCGTTATCAGCATACAATGATGGCATTCTTCTGGCAACAAATCACCACCTCATTAAGATCACTGATTTGGAGTCTCCACCCGCCATAGACATGTCCAGACAAGTTCACTGTACATGGACTACAGAATCGGCCAACTGAGGAGTGCATGTAGGCCTAACACTGTGGGGGGAGGGTCACTTATTGCTAACGATCAGAAAAATTACACAAACAGGCTATGTTGGACTCCATGAGCGATACACATACAAGTATATAGCCATGACATGCTGTCATTACAATGTAGTCCCATATTCAGAATGTCACCAAACAGGTGAATCATGTGATTACCAACTTTACAAGCTTAACAATACTCCTTGCCAACAATACAGTTTGCTTGCATATGTAATTTTTCACCTCTGCACATGTACATCAAAAATGTAGATTCCGTTCCACACACTAAATTGACAAATCTACCGTATGTGTGTCGGTATTGGATCACACAAGTACATGTATATGCACACATGTACCTGCACAAGTGTAGTTAAAAATGACATGTACATTGTAAAATGTATGACAAATGTTATACAGTTTACACTTGAGATACATTTCCACATGCAGTTGCAAGCTTACGTGTACATGTACATGGACCGGTATGTACATGTACATGTACATTTCCTTATTAATACGCATATACCGTAAATGTACTCGTATTCGCAAACAGATGCAATTTTTTTTTAACAACAGTGCCGCCACGTTTGGCA